TGATGTAGAGAACAAATCCCCACCATCTTCCTCCTGGACCTTTAATGGACATTCATCATTTATCACGTTATCAGTATTGGGGTCATTCAAGGACTGGGGGACATTTTATGTCCCCACCTTAGATTTTTCATTGAATGATGTACAAAATATGGAAAATGCACCTGTTAAGTAAATTATAATTATCCAGACACACAATACAACTGTACATGTAGTAAAATTGATTCCTAATATTTAAAATACTAAATAAGTCGTGACAAAATCTCACATCAAATAAGGCAGCATTTAAAAATTTAGTTTTATGCCAAATGTATCCTATGTATTTGTAGTAATACTTTTAAATTTTGTTCCTCATAATGAAATGAAATTCTAAGATAACAACCCCCTGTGTATCTTTTTACCAATTATAGGTAAAAAGATACATGTTNGCTTGACTGCCATCTAGTGTGTCTGCTCCGTATTGCAAATCCGGCCCCGTGGCCCACTTGACCCCCACCTGTCACTGTTTGACAACTACCCGGATGGCACAGTTGACCCTCCTGCCAAGCCGGACGCCAACGGGCCACTTGGCAAGAGAAAAAAAGGGACAAAAAGGACCTGATTTCTCCGGCCCCTAACCACAACACTAACCCCAGCCCTAACCCTAATCCCCCGGTACTTCAATATCTGGAACTCTCTGGGCAGCATCCATTGCATCGCCGCCAGCCGGCTGGAATCAACCTCGTCCTCTGGTAATGAACTGAACTTTAAGGCCAGGTAAGTGACTCACACGTTTATAATCATCCTCCGCCAAATAGACGTGGTCACTAACCTGTGTTCTCTCCCTGCAGAAGGTCCTGCCTTAGATGCCCTTGCTCTTACCTGCAAATGTACTTCATAAATGTTGTTGAGAAACCTAACTGTCTGTCTGCTTTGAAAACTGGGCTTTCTGTTGTGAGCCTTAACACCAACACTCGGATCCCTACTTAACTCCTCCATTGCGGATTCACCTCATCTCCCAAGTAAGAACTCTCACACTCTCTTCTTCAAAATCAACCTGCCCCCATCTTCTGGTTGAATCTAATCCACCTGTGCTTCTAGAGTTTCTGCCACAACTGCCCCTAGGCAACATCCACAACATTGGAAATATTTATATGTTCTGTGTAAATATACCTTTTAAACACAGCATTGTCTTCTAAGAGTTTTCAGCATGTGGGTTAAACAACTATCTAAAACCATGACTCCCTTGACTTCTGCATTCTTTTTATAGAAGTCACTGGAACTGTTGTTAGTCTCTCTTTCTATAGCATAATCCAAACTATCGGTGGTGGTTCTGAATGGGTGGGTTCTATCTCAGAGAACCGGGCCCCTGGTTCATCATAGCTGTTCTCCATCCCCTCATGAAGCTACCAGATGGTCCCTGTTGGCCGGTCCAACCACAGCCTGCTGGATCGTTCACTGAGATTCAGAAATTATACTCAAGTAAGAGCAGCACGACTTTAACAGATTTTTGCTGAAGTAAAAGTAAAAAGCAGCTTCAAAAAATTACTGAAGAATAAAAAGTATTTGGTAAAAATTCTCCTTAGGTACTGAATAACTGATCATAGCATCTGATGAACTTCATGAAATGATGTAATCAGACAGAGCAAAAAGTTTCAGACTGACTAAAAGTTTCAAACCAAACTTTATGTTGGATAATGTAACAATAACAGGGTGATTACCTGCAGTAGTGATGTCGACCTTTAACCTTATATAACTCAGACTTCCATGTGTCATCAAAAGCTCAGCAGACTAAAGAAACATTAAAACATCAAACCATGTGTAGAAAGAAAAAACCTTTTACTACTTCTGAAAGTACTTTAATGTGAAAAAGTTCCTGCTGCAAATTCCCTCCTCACCTTCAGGGCCTCTGAAAGGTTTGCCCTGCTGGACATCATCTGCTGAGCACCAATGATGTAGAGAAGAAATCCCCACCATCTTCCTCCTGGACCTTTAATGGACATTCATCATTTATCACGTTATCAGTATTGGGGTCATTCAAGGACTGGAGGACATTTTATGTCCCTACCTTAGATTTTTCATTTAATGATGTACAAAATATAGAAAATGCACCTGTTAAGTAAATTACAATTATCCAGACACACAATACAACTGTACATGTAGTTAAATTGATTCCTAATATTTAAAGGAGAATTCCGGTTTTTAACACTTTTAGCCCATTTTCTGTAGTGTCCAGGATGAAATCGAATGATCGACACCAAAATTTTGAC